CAAACATGAGCCTATTACACATTCTGACCCCTTACCCACTTTCTACTTCACAAATGTTAAAAGCCCCCACGAAAGAGAGTTAACTTTTTCTGTAACTGGCGACTCCTAGTGGAAGTATTACAAAGAGACACTGTAACAGACGGCATCCTGTCAGACTGATCTGAGTTGCAGACACTGAAATTAATGGACTGAACCAACACACAGATTTTAACACTTTTCACCTGGATTGGCAAAAAAAACACTTTTCTGCCTTTTAAATAAGTTCAAAAACATAAACATGGAGGTTTTAACACGTGTAAAAAGCTCTTAGTTTGGTGAGTTTGGGTGATATTTATTCTGATATTTGAATGTGTTGCTGCCTTCATTTGAATAATAGGCTGTTGTAAGAAGTGATAGTGCATCTGCAGCTTGTTTGGCACCATTTCAGCATTATTATTGATTACGCTCCTCTTTTTTTGGTCTCATATAGCTGAATGAGTAAGTGTGTGACATTAACTGCCAAAAGGTTTAGACAGGAATCATTAAAATTGCCCGCTGACGTGGTGTCTAGTAGATGCTGAGCATCAAACTAAAGCAATAATCACAGCGATGAAAGATGTCAAACCTACCAGATCTTTTGTCGCTCTGCGCGGGAGTAACGAGAAAGATGACTCCTTCATGGTTTGCAGATGCGTAGATGGAATAAATTGGGTATCCGATGACGTATGTCTGGAAGAGATCACACAGCTGTCAGACATGGCTGCCAGAAATCAGAGGGAACAACAACACTAACTGATCTCGACCCAGGAGTCCTTCACTGCTGTGCCTCTACGTATGCAGTCACACTCATGATGAGGCGATGATAAATGTGCAGGTAAACTGTGACAGAGACTCCATGAACACCCTGCTCATTCTGGTGTTAATTATGTAGCTATATCCAAAAAAAACAATCAACATGTGCTATAAAATAGATGGAATCGGTTGACGTGCGCAGAGTTAACTTTAGTGTGTGGAAAATAATGTTTAAAAAGGTAGGATGTCAATTTCTACTCCACACTAACTGGCTGTGGCCTTTCATATGGAGAAAACCCAACACGAGTGTACAAACAGAGCTGAAGTGGACACAGATTGGGATGAGACGCACTGAGACTGGAGGGAAAAGCGTTTAAGAACCAAGCCGTACTTTGATGAGGATGCCGTCTGTGAAGTCCCAAAGTCTGACAGTGCCATCTGCTGAGCAAGAGTAGACCTGCAACAAAAACAGGTGAGGGATGAATCACCGCAGGAGAAATTAAAAACAATAAAATCCTTATAAACAGCAACCACCTATATTCTATTTCAGTATTAAAGCAGGGAGCATCTAAGAAGCACAACACCAGTAATAATGCTACAAGAAGTGCACTTAAAATATGTTTTAATGCATTTAAAATTAGTTATTAAAAAGAAAATCAACCTCTACAATCGATCCAGTCAGGGTGTGCTGGGGTTTGGAGATGCAGTCATGAATATAAAGCCAGCCGATCAATAAAATAATAATACAAATCTTAAAAAGGCACTTTGTGGTGCTCTTAAAAACTTAACTTTGGTAAAACATTAGTAAAAAGTTGTTCTAAATGAAACCATTCATAAGGTTTTCAAAACATTTATTTCACTCCAAAATCAATTCATCAATAATCTCTCTCCACTGATGAATCCATACAAAGTGTTAGTAATGAATCAATGAGTCAATTAGACTTTCACCAGAAATATTATCAATATCAATTATTCTGATCGTATCTTCTTGAGATTTGGATGTTGCATGTGGCCATATTACAGTTTTAATATAACTGAGATTCATTGTGCTTTAACATTTTAAAGACTTGTAGTGTCGCTGCTTTAGACTTTATTTGTCATTTGGATTTGCATCAAAATGAAATTCCGTTACAATGACACACAGCACAACAGGAACAGAGGAGAGGAAAAAATACATATGCAGATATAAAAACTTTAGATTTTATTAAAGATAATATATGTTTAGAAAGACTCAGGAGAAGACCCTGGCTGTTAGAAATGAAAACACCACATGTTATGTATCCATTAGTGCATTATTCATCCCCGTTAACGGACGGGGTGGTGGGTGACTGTACCTGCAGGTGGTTGGAGGGTCTGAGCAGCACACCTGTCACCAGCTCTGTGTGTCCGCGCAGGTCGTGGATACACTCCTCTGTGGAGGCGCTGAACACCTTCACACACTCTCCCGAGGCGCACAGCAGGAACCTGCAGCAACACAAACGTCATGTTCTTTATCTTTCACACAACAACTCACACTTTCTATTATCGCTGTCCTGGTCATACTCGCTTGTTGTTGTTTGGTAACTTTATGGAAAGACTGTTCATCATACGTTGTTGTTTACAAGAAGTTCAAGCTTTGAGATAAAGTTATTTTATAGAGGAAAAGAAAAGAGAAATAAGGAAACATAAAATACAAGAGATTAATCTGAGTGGGCAAATATTAATAAGTTTACATAAGTTGATAGTTTGTTATTTTTTCTGTTGCAGGTTTTTAAAATGTGGAAGCGTTTGCAAATACATGTTCATATCTTTTAAAAGTTTAAAAGTAAGAGTAATATTAGATGGTAGCTTCTTTAAAACAGCATTTTATGAATGAACAATATAACTACTTTAATAAGTATGAGCGATCCAGTCAGGGTGTGCTGGGGTTTGGAGATCCAGTCATGAATATAAAGCCAGCTGATCAATAAAATAATAATAATGCAAATCTTAAAAAGGCACTTTGTGGTGCTCTTTAAAACTTAACTTTAGTAAAACATTAGTAAGAAACTCAACTTAACTTTAGTAAAAAGTTGTTCTTAATGAAGTTTTCAAAACATTTATTTCACTCAAAAAGATCAAAGTTCAAGCTTTCAGATAAAATTATTTTATAGAGAAAATAAATAAGGAAACATAAAATACAGGAGATTAATCTGAGTGGGCAAATATTAATAAGTTTATATAAGTTGATAGTTTGTTATTTTTTCTGTTGCAGGTTTATAAAATGTGGAAGCGTTTACAAATACATGTTTATATCTTTAAAAGTTTAAAAGTTTAAAAGTAATATTAGCGGGTAGCTTCTTTAAAACAGCATTTTATGAATGAATCAATAAATAAACTTAAATAATGAGCAGATTCACGAAGAGCTGGACAGAGAATGATTAACGGTGTGTAAGTACAGTGCAGATTTAATCAGATTTAACGTTATTTATTTGTAAACAAACAGAAATATAAAACACGTGCGTTAGCAGCTTGTGTCGCTAATGCTAACGGCTAGCTCCGACGACACGAGCCTTCGGAGGAAAAACCGCGGGAACTTGTTTATGTGAAACTCTGAAACGTTGCGGATTGAACAGAGGCTCTCTCACCTGCAGTCGCTGCTGATTTCAGGCTGTCTGCTGGTTATTTTACTGCCTCCTCGGTGAACCACGCGGATAGCTCCGTGCTCAACCATGTTTCACTGCGGGGACCTTTAACCTCTGCGGCGGGGTTACAGCAGCGTACTGCCCCCTGCTGGACTGGAGACACACTGTTACTGCCCCCTGCTGGACTGGAGACACACTGACACTGAGACAGAGAGAGAGACAGATAGAGA